AAATATAATACATTAAAGAAATGTACTTTAGGGATAATGCATACAACATTCATTACCAAAGTGCAATTTATAATTGAATTACCAAAGGAACAGACCAGAGAGGTAATAATAATCCTCTCAATAAAGAGTTGTGGTGACTTCACAGCCAACTTTCAAAATGTAAACCCAAAATATAAATGGATAAAGATTCCAAGATGGGCATAGTATTCAGTAATTGTGGCCTAAACATGGTACATCAAATTTCAACTAACTATAACTTACAGTTTAGTGAGTAAAAGAATATCATATAACCTGGAAAAAAAAAAGTAATAAAGCAAATTTATTATGTCACTTGTGCTATCAAACTGCATAATGACACAAACTTTTCAAAAAACATTATAAATAGAGTTGAGAGGACACCTGGATGTTCGAGTTCGCAGAGTTCGGCCAAACTTCATCTAAAAATTCGAGTTCGGGCTCGAACTTGACCCGAACTTGAGCCCGAACCCAAACCCCATTGAAGTCAATGAGGACCCGAACTTTGGGCACTAAAATGCCTCTAAAAAATTCCTGGAAAGGGCTGGAGGTAAAATGGGGGTAAGAGTGCCTTGCAAACAAATGTGGATAGGGAAATCACTTAAAATAACATAAAATATCTAAAAATTAAAAATACAGCTGAGCCATAAAATAGCACTAGATGGAATCTTTGATTTTAGCTTTAGAAGAACATAAATCAAAATCTAAAGCATGGCTGTCAGGAGGATCACCAGAATTATCATTTTGAGAGAGGGTTGGAGTGCAGGGTATTCTCTTTCATTGTTCAAACTGAGCTCAACCCCTGATGCATGGAGAAAAGGCCTTCACAAGCCTCTGCTATTGTGTACATAGTTTATACTAAGTGACCCATAGGTTGAGGAGGCGGTGACCGTGGCGGTGTAGGTGGAAGTGGCGGTGGAGGAGGAGTAGGTAGCCAACACTGTTTTTATTTGTTTTTGTTTTTTTGTTTTTTTTTTGTTGAATTTTTTTACTCCACTGCAGCTCGTGCTTTGCATGTAGATGCCTGGTCATGCAGGTTGTGCTCAGGTTTAGAACGTTTATGCCTCGCTTCAGGCTCTGAAGACACCACTAGTGTCTTGTCGTCAGCACATTGTCTGAAGAACTTCCACGCCAGGGAACTCCTTGGAACTGGCTTTGGTGTGCTCGGTACCTGGGTGCGGTGGGCAGTAGCAGGCGTACTGTCTAGGGGACGGCCGCTCCGCTTTTGCACCCTGCTCTAGGAGGAAGAGGTGGATGCGGAGTAGGAGGTTGAGGAGGCGGTGACCGTGGCGGTGGAGGAGGTAGCCAACACTGTTTTTTATTTTGTATTATTTATTTTATTTTAATTGGGGTAGCCCCCAAAATATTGGGACATATAAAAAAAGAAACATTTGCGGCCTGCGGTGCATTTCTTGCAGTCCAGTAATGCCATCAAGTTTTTAAAACTGTCCGTCTTCACCAGATGTATTGACAGCATTTCAAAGGCCAGGAATTTTGAAATGCTGGCATTCAGGGCCAGGGATTGCGGGTAGGTAGGGGGGTACTTCCTCTTTATCGCCAGTGTTTGGGTGATGGACAGCTGAACGCTTCCATGGGACAGTGTGAAGATGGTGGACAATTGTGTACCTGGCCTATGCTGATGCAAGAACCCACCCTCCGAGCCACTTGTTAATGACTGGCCTGATAACTGTGGAAATGACCCCTCTTCCTCCTCCTCTTCCTCCTGTGCCACATCCTCTTCCATCATTGCCCAAAGCAGTTTTTTCAAGGCGACATAGAAATGGGATAGTAAGGCTGAGAACGGTTTTATCAGCACTGGCCATGTTGGTGGAGTACTCAAAACAGTGCAACATGGCACAGGGGTCTCGCATGAAGGCCCACTCATTGGTGGTGAAGTGGTGCCGTTCCGCAGAGTGACTGACCCGTGTGTTCTGCAGCTGAAACTCCATTATCGCCTGCTGCTGCTCGCACAGTCTCTCCAGCATGTGCAAGGTGCAAGTTCCACCTTGTGGGCACATCGCATATGAGGCCATGAGCAGAAGACCGAAGTTACGCTGCAGCGCAGAGAGGCGAGCAGCAGCAGGGTGAGAACGTCGAAAGCGTGCACAGACAGCCCACACTTCTGCAGCAGCTCTGATATATCTGGGTAGTTTTTCAGGAATTTCTGCACCACCAAATTCAGCACATGCGCTAGGCAAGGGATGTGCGTCAAACCGGCTAGGCCCAGAGCTGCTACGAGATTTCGCCCATTATTGCACACCACCAGGCCGAGCTTGAGGCTCAGTGGCAACAACCACTCATCGGTCTGTTTTTCCATGCCTGTCCACAGCTCCGGCGTGGTGTGGGGTTTTTCCCTCAAACATATGAGTTTTTAAACAGCCTGCTGTCGTTTCCCCCTGACTGTGCTGAAGTTGGTGGTGAAGGTGTTACGCCGACCGGATGAGGAGGTGGTAGAGGAGGAGGAAGCAGAGTAGGAGGTATCAGAAGGCAAAGCTGTGTGTACCCAAATAAAGATTTTCAAATGTTGTATCCTGGAACTGTGTCCAATCCGGTTACTGGGGAAATGGGTCTGACCTATTCTAATCAAAGGGGATAACCATCGGTTACCCAGGTTCAATTGGTGGCAAGGGTCGGGATCCCATGTCCCTGCCAACAGACCCATGGACTACAGTGCTCTAAAGTGACCTACACTGCAGGACTTGTGTGGAGCCAGAGGAATAACGCCTGGTGGGCGTAACAAGGCCGAATTGACTGCTGCGCTCATGGAGGACGACCAGGCATGCAGTGAGGCAACGAACTCCAGCCAGGGGCCGGAGATGAGGAGGAAGTGCGCATAGAGGTAGAACGACGCATATTACCGAGAGCCACCTGCAGAGAAGATCATCAGCGGGACCTTTTTGAAGATGCAAGCCTATGTCCTTGCCAATAGACAGAGGGCGACCTCCATGAACCCAGATGAAGGAAGAAGGGAGCAGAGGGCGCTGGGCAGCACAACCACCTTGGCCCACAAGCTACCATACAATGACTTGAAAGAGTTCAAGGAAGCAGAAGAAGGCATCGATGACTTTTTACAAGACTTTGAGCGTCAGTGCCTACTCCAAGACGTGGACCCCAGCGACTGGGTCACCATCCTGGCCAGCAAACTAGTGGGGAAGGCAGCAGATATTTACCGGGCTGTACCAGAAAAGCAGATCAGAGACTATCCCTTTATTACACAAATCCTCCTGGCCCGGTATGCGGTCACCCCCGAGCAATTCAGCCGAAAGTATAGGGAGACCCGGAAAGGTGAGAAGGACTCCCATGCAGAGTGGGCATGCTGCATCACAAGGGCCACCCAGAACTGGCTCAACTCTCATCAAGCCAAGTTCCCAGAGGAGATCACCCAGCTCATCATGCTAGAGCACTTTTTCAATGGGCTCCCCAACGACACGGCTGGTGAGAGACCGCCAGCCTCAGACCCAAGAAGTATTGATATGAGCTGCTGACGCTAGCTCACGATATCCACTTGGCAGGGCATTTTGGCAGAAGCCGAACAGCGACTCGGCTCACCCACAGCTTCTTCTGGCCAGGCATCTCTCAGGATCTGAGGCAGTACTGTCAGATGTCTGCCACAGAGTGGGGAAGAGAAGGGACTGGCACAGGGCCCCCCTCCATCCCCTACCTATTAATTAAGATCCGTTCGGCAGAGTAGTTGTAGACATTATAGGTCCCCTAGCCAAGCCTAGTCCCTCTGGGAAGAAGTACATTCTGACCATCGTGGACTACACGACTCGGTACCCTGAGCAGTATTCATGCAGAGACTGTGGCTGAAGCCTTGATGTGAGTGTTCTCACGGATGGGTTTTCCCCAGGAGATTCTCTCAGACCAGGGCACCCAGTTTACTGCTGAAATGGCCCAACAACTGTGGAGATTGTGCACATTAAACCAATCCTGAGCTCCCCTTACCACCCCCAGACCAATGGCCTGTGTGAGAGCTTCAACGGTACGTTGAAGCAAATGCTCCGAACCTTTGCGGCGACTCACAAGGATTGAGAGAGATTCCTGCCCCATCTCCTGTTTGCCTATCAGAAGGTGCCACAGGAATCGACTGGGTTCTCCTTGTTCCAACTGCCACGCCAGGGAACTCCTTGGAGCTGGCTTTGGTGTGCTAGCCTGGGTGCGGTGGGCAGTAGCAGGCGTACTGTCTAGGAGGAGGAGGTTGATGTGGAGTAGAAGGTTAAGAAGGCGGTGACAGTGGCGGTGTAGGTGGAAGCGGCGGTGGAGGAGGAGGAGGTAGCCAACACTGTTTTTTATTTGTTTGTTTGTTTTTTGTTTTTTTTAAATTGGGGTAGCCCCCAAAATATTGGGACATATAAAAAAAAAATAAAACAAAGAATAAGTGCACTTGAGTTTAACAATGGCTGGGTGAGGCCGGTATAAATGTCTATTCTGCACAAGGTACAGACAAGTCTGTTGGGATCCATGCCTAGTTCATTTTAATAAATGTGAGCTTGTCCACGTTGGCTGTGGACAGGCGGCTGCGCTTGACTGTGATAACACCTCCTGCCGTACTAAACACAAGTTCAGACAATACACTGGCTGCAGGGCAGGCCAGTACCTCCAAGGCATAAAGGGCAAGCTCAGGCCATGTGTCCAATTTGGAGACCCAGAAGTTGAATGGGGCAGACCCATCAGTCAGTACGTGTAGGCGTGTGCACACGTTCTGTTCCACCATGTTGCTGAAATGCTGCCTCCTGCTAAGACGTTCCATATCAGCTGGTGGTGCTGGTTGTTGTGGCATGCTGACAAAGCTTTTCCACATTTCGGCCATGCTAACCCTGCCTTCTGAGGTGCTGGCGGTGACCCAGCTGTGTTGGCGACCTCTTCCTCTGCCTTCGCCTTGTGCTTCCACTGAGCCCCCGGTGTCAGTTGGGAATGCCCTCAGCAGCGAGTCTACCAGCGTGCACTTGTAGTCGCGCATCTTCCGATCACGCTCCAGTGAGGGAATTAAGGATGGCATGTTGTCCTTGTAACGAGGATCCAGCAGGGTGGCCACCCAGTAATCAGCACAAGTTAGAATGTGGGCAACTCGACAGTCATTGCGCAGGCACTTTGGTGACTCTAGAGAACCTCGGGCCGATCGCATGTCCCTGTGATGGCGACTACACATTCCGATGTCTGCCCTATCAACTCTCGATGGTACTTTCTGCGCTTACCATGGTGACCATGGGTAACGGGAATCAGGGTTCGATTCCGGAGAGGGAGCCTGAGAAACGGCTACCACATCCAAGGAAGGCAGCAGGAGCGCAAATTACCCACTCCCGACGCGGTGAGGTAGTGACGACAAATAACAATACAGGACTCTTTCGAGGCCCTGTAATTGGAATGAGTCCGCTTTAAATCCTTTAACGAGGATCTATTGGAGGGAAGTCTGGTGCAGAGCCACTGACCCATGCGTGCTGCAGCTCAAACTCCTCTATCGCCTGCTGCTGTTCGCACACTCTCTCCAGCATGTGCAAGGTGGAGTTCCACCTTGTGGGCACGTCGCATATGAGGCGGTGAGTGGGAAGGCCAAAGTTACGCTGCAGCATAGACAGGCGAGCAGCAGGGTGAGAACGCTGAAAGCATGCACAGCCGCTACAGTGAATGTCCAAGTTGCAGATCAGTCTGGTGATGGCTTCTGGTATCCAGTTCTCTTTTTACAATTCTTAGTTTTCTTGATTTTTCTGGTTTTCTATTCCATGCCCGTTTTTTTTTTTAATGCTCTGATTTCTTGGTTCATTCCTTTTATTCCGTCCCTGGAATTCCCTGTCTCCAGGATTCATTTAAATGTTTGTTTTGAGTTGCCACACCCGTTCCTTCTCCATGAATCCTTTTGTTTCTGTCTGGACCTGCAGCAGTGGTTTCAAGTCCTCTGCCCTTTCTAGCAGGTAAGTGTTATATGTGCTTTATTATGGTTCATTTAGCAGACATTAGGCAGAGTAGGACCTGCCAAATATGGGGTACATTGGCGTTGTTGGCAGGCTTATGCAATGTATGATCATATAATGTAACTAAATCCCCATGGTTTTCACATATAGTACTTGGTTATGTCTCCTCTTGTTTTGCCTATCATATCTTGTCTTGTTTTATTTTGTATCCAGTCCATCTACAGTACTGTCTTGTTCTGCCCATGTTCCCCTTATGTATTGTGTACATGTTCTGGGTTTAGCTTCCTATTCTTCTCTGGTTCTGGTTTCTCCTAGTTCTCTCTTGTTTTCATGTTTGGTGTCTGTTCTAGTCTTGCCTTGTATCTGTACTGGATACATTCCTGCTGAAGAGCCTCCCTATTCAGCTCCTGGGAGGTCTGCTTATTTCCAAGCTCCTAGTTCCTGGGATCCGCTGAAGCTACTTCAGGGTCCTGGTATGTGGCCGCACAAACACTGGTGCTCAACAACAGGGGGCGTGCAGTTACCCTGCACCAGACCCTGCTAATCCATTCCACACTGTGACTCCTAACTTCAACATCAGGTATACTGGGTCCCGGTCGTCTGACCGCTGGCCAGACAGTGTCTGGGTCCCGGTCACTGGACTGCCACCCTGACTGTGAAACTATGAATGGCTAGTTAAATCTGTTATGGTTCCTTTGATCGCTCCATCTGTTACTTGGATAACAGTGTTGATTCTAGAGCTAATACATGCAGACGAGCGCTAGGGGTGGCCACTCTGTTTTGGCACCCTGCTCCCTCTTATGCTGTGCTGGTGCCTCTGTGCGACCACTGCCTCTTCCTCCAAACTGCACACGTCACTCGCATGACCTTCATTCCATGTGGGGTCTAGGACCTCATCATCCTCCACATCATTTTACACCCACTCCTCAACCCTGCCCTCCTTGCCGGTCTGCACACTTCAGAAAGCCACAGCAGTTGGCACCTGTGTTTTTCCAGCATATAAAGTCTGCAAAGGACATATGGAAATTGTTTTAGAATTGTATCCAGGCAACAGTTTTCCCTATAAACGGACCTCTCATTTTGACTTGTGAGGGTATTGCTCCAGAATTACAATATTGTTTAAGTACCTCTTAGCTATTGATAACTGGTTTAAATATAGCAGCTTGTTATCTGGTAGTTTCTAGTGTAGAAAATATCAATCTGTTTTCTATCACTTAGATCTGTCTAACAAGTGTTGTAGGTGTGAAACAATATTACAAGTGACCGATGTAGTAAATTCGAATCAAAGTTCCATTTTTAAAAAAAAATTCTTGCCCATCTTCTGTGGGTTATTGCATTTTTAAGATGTAGACTTATTGTATCACACTAGCCATGCACAGATAGATTGTCTGGCACGTTGTTTTGGTGTTTGGTTTTAACTTAAGCACCAAAACAATTTGAAATTTAAAAAATGCTATGTCACAGCAGTATTTGACAATTCTATTTGACTCTCAGATATGAAGTACAGGCCCCAAATGTACTATTTAGCACCTAAAAAATTAGAATTTTTAAAACTGCTATGTCGCAGCAGTATTTGATGGTTCTATTTGACTCTCAGATATGAAGTGCAGGCCCCAAATGTACTATTTAGCACCAAAACAATTTGAATTTTTAAAACTGCTATGTCACAGCAGTATTTGACGGTTCTATTTGACTCACAGATATGAAGTGCACCGCAGGCCGCAAATGTTCTATTTAGCACCCCAAAAAAATTGAATTTTTAAAACTGCGCTGTAACCACAGTATTTGACGGTTCTATTTGACTCTCAGATATGAAGTGCACACCCCAAATGTACTATTTATCACCCCAAAAAATAGAATTTTACTATTTAGCACCAACAAATTTGCAGTATTTAAAAATGCCTAGATGTTGCCCACTGAGCTATTAGAACAGGATTAAAGTAATGTGCCTGCACTCTCTGTGGCACTGGGCTCAGGGCAGGGTACAAAAATGTAGTATAGCACCCACAAAAATAATCACTGTAGTTTGCAGAATTCCAGAATTGTTTCCTAATCTGTTCCTCACAGCTGCAGCATCCTCTCCCTACACTAATAAGAGCTCATGTGACGTGCGGCACTACGTGACTCCAGCTTATATATAGAGGCTGGGTCACATGCTGCACTGGCCAAACACAGCAATGCCACAAATAGGCATGGCTGTGATGGCTTCTAAAGGCACACAAGTCAAATGCTTGTTGATTGGCTGCCCTGCAGCCTTTCAAAACGTGCCATTAAATCGCCAAATACCGAACTCAAACCCGAACATACATTGATATGTCCGTGTTCAGGTCCGGGGTCCAAAAAACGTAATGTTCGGTACGAACCTGAACTTTACAGTTCGGGTTCACTCAACTCTAGTTATAAATGTCTAGTAATTTAGAAATATATCAATAGACAAAAAGGATTACAAAAATATAAAATATTTTCAATCTTCCTAGAGTCTTTCAATGTTGCATTTATGGTGCTCTAAAGAAACATAGAAAAACTAAAAGTACTATCTGGTGCAGATTATTCTGAGTACCAATGCAGTTTTTCTTTTTTTGTTAATAAGATTTTTATTGGTCACTGTTATTGTAGTAAAACAAGTGCAGAGTAAACAGAGGTACACAGTCAAACCGTTAAAAAAAAAAAAAATTGCATATAGAGGCTGACAGCCATGCAGGGCTGAATGGAATAATGAACACATTCAAGGGAACCTAGCTTTTTAGAGGTGTAACAATATGTCTGTGTTCAGTAGTCAGTCCGACTGTTTCCCTAACCGTAAGAGTAGCCTGTGTTATTGGTGTCCCTAATTGCTTCTCTGGTTTGATCATCCTACAGAAGTGAGAGTTGGGATGCTGGGTTAGAAAGGTCAGTTCCATTGACCCCCAGACAGGGTATGCGCACGGACAATAGCCCAGGACCCCTCATCTTACTGGGCTCTCTCATCCCATATGCCAGCAAGGCACGAAAGTCAGCGTGATATGATACCAGACAGTGAGTCCAGCCATCTGCGTAAGATTGGGTCCATCCTTGGGCCACAACTGTCAGTTCTTTGAGATGTCTCAGGTCCTCCATTTCTTTGAACCACAGCGTCAGTGGTGGGGGGGGATGTTTCCTGTTTCCAGTAGAGGGGAACTACTTGTTTAGTCGTATTTAGAATATGAATGGACATTGATTTCTTATATCTAGCTGTTTGGATTATGGTGCAAGAGAAAAGAAGCCGGTCAGAAGGGCGGGAGGTTGTCGGAAAATTTCTGTAGGATGGTATTAATCGCCGGCCTGAAGGGTTTGATTTTAAGACAGGCCCTGTTATTGCAGATCCTTGCTGTTGGGTCATCATAGAGGGTTGTCACCCAGGCCTGCATGTGTGGACCTAGCCCAAGAATCCGTAATGTGTGAAAGAGGAAGTCCCAGTCCACCCTATCAAAGGCCTTCTCTGCAAGGAAAGGCTCTCGCCGGAAATATGAACTTGGTGTATCAGGGAGATGACACGTTTGATATTGTCTCTCACTTCCCGGTGGGGGATGAAACCCCCTTTGTCAGACTTAACGAGGTCGGGTAAGTATGGGTTCATTCTAGTAGCTACAGATATTGCCGTCTTTAGATGTTAGGGTGACATTAGCTGCCAAGGTTTGCGTGGTAAGCTTCTGTTCATCCGTGAGGGAATTTAATGCTGTCAGGACTTGTGGGTATAGGATGTCAGCAAATTGTTTGTTGTAGGGAATGGTCAAATCGTCAGGGCCAGGACTTTTGCCAGGTTTGGTGGTCTTCACCGCAGTCGTCAATTCCTCTAGAGTCAGGGGAGTTTCTAGGGTCCTTTTGGTGTCTTCCGTTATTTTCATGTGAATATTAGTTTCCAGGTAAGCGTGGATGGCAGCAGTCTTTCGGTTGGGTTGAGCGTGATTCCTAGCTGTCTTCGTCGAGTACAGATTTTCGCAGTATGAGTGTGCAACCTTAGCGATAGCATCGGGCAAATGTTGTACCCGTCCTTGATGGTCCCGTGGCTGGGCAATGTAGGACTTCGATTTTTGTTTGTTAATCATTCGGGCGAGCAGTCTGCCACACTTGTCACTGTGCAGGTAGAAGTGTGCTTTGGTGTGTTGGAGGTGACGCTGATGAAGGAGTGTTGACAGTTCGCGCTCTCATCCCATATGCCAGCAAGGCACGAAAGTCAGCGTGATATGATACCAGACAGTGAGTCCAGACATCTGCGTAAGATTGGGTCCATCCTTGGGCCACAACTGTCAGTTCTTTAAACCGTCTCAGGTCCTCCATTTCTTTGAACCACAGCGTCAGTGGTGGGGGGGGATGTCTCCTGTTTCCAGTAGAGGGGAACTACTTGTTTAGTCGTATTTAGAATATGAATGGACATTGATTTCTTATATCTAGCTGTTGGGATTATGGTGCAAGAGAAAAGAAGCCGGTCAGAAGGGCGGGAGGTTGTCGGAAAATTTCTGTAGGATGGTATTAATCGCCGGCCTGAAGGGTTTGATTTTAAGACAGGCCCTGTTATTGCAGATCCTTGCTGTTGGGTCATCATAGAGGGTTGTCACCCAGGCCTGCATGTGTGGACCTAGCCCAAGAATCCGTAATGTGTGAAAGAGGAAGTCCCAGTCCACCCTATCAAAGGTCTTCTCTGCAAGGAAAGGCTCTCGCCGGAAATATGAACTTGGTGTATCAGGGAGATGACACGTTTGATATTGTCTCTCACTTCCCGGTGGGGGATGAAACCCCCTTTGTCAGACTTAACGAGGTCGGGTAAGTATGGGTTCATTCTAGTAGCTACAGATATTGCCGTCTTTAGATGTTAGGGTGACATTAGCTGCCAAGGTTTGCGTGGTAAGCTTCTGTTCATCCGTGAGGGAATTTAATGCTGTCAGGACTTGTGGGTATAGGATGTCAGCAAATTGTTTGTTGTAGGGAATGGTCAAATCGTCAGGGCCAGGACTTTTGCTAGGTTTGGTGGTCTTCACCGCAGCCGTCAATTCCTCTAGAGTCAGGGGAGTTTCTAGGGTCCTTTTGGCGTCTTCCGTTATTTTCATGTGAATATTAGTTTCCAGGTAAGCGTGGATGGCAGCGGTCTTTCGGTTGGGTTGAGCGTGATTCCTAGCTGTCTTCGTCGAGTACAGATTTTCGCAGTATGAGTGTGCAACCTTAGCGATAGCATCGGGCAAACGTTGTACCCGTCCTTGATGGTCCCGTGGCTGGGCAATGTAGGACTTCGATTTTTGTTTGTTAATCATTCGGGCGAGCAGTCTGCCACACTTATCACTGTGCAGGTAGAAGTGTGCTTTGGTGTGTTGGAGGTGACGCTGATGAAGGAGTGTTGACAGTTCGCGCCGTAGTGCGGCTAGATTCTCGAAAGTGGTTAGAGTCTGCTGGAACTTGTGTATTATTGTTATTATTATTATTATTATCGCCATTCCAATCATTGAATAGCTTCAATAAGCTTACGTATGCCCTCCTCCCTTTCCCGCTTGATCAGAGTTCTTCGTTCCATAAAGAATCCCCTAATGGTGCACTTGTGTGCCTCCCATATTGTCGGGGTTGAGACCTCAGGAGTCGTGTTCTCAGAGAAGTAGTCTGTCAGAACAGCGTGAGCTTCTTGTGAAATCAGTCGGTTGTCTAGGAGCGTCTCATTCAGTCTCCAGTTAATTGACTTTGGTTTGGAGAGCAGGGATGTCAAGCTCACAGAGAGTGGGGCATGGTCAGACCAGGTCGTAAGGCCATAAGCAGCCTTAAGGCGGTAAGGCATCAGGTGTCTGGTTAATTTCTGGTAGAAAGTTAAGTCTGTTGTGTAACAAGGATCTCTCTTGTGTCCCAGTGCCTCGGTCTAAGAGCTCATCAAATAATCAAGCAATCCCAAAGCTAAAAGTAGGTATTGTCAGGTATTGATGGCAGTTCCCAGTATGTGTGCTTCGTCAGTGGACAGTGTCTAGGAAGGTGGCACCACACATTAGGTATGCAAGCGTGGATCAGGTTCAGAGCCTACTTAAACAGTAAGTAACATTTGGTGATATAAAGGCATTAAAAGGAAGAAAATACATTCCCTTAAACAGTGAGAACAGAGTGCATGTAAAAGCCATAAGAACAACCATTTCAATATAAATCAGGTGAACTGCACAGCAAGACAACTTGACCATTAGATTTTAAGTGGGGTAGTTGGTGGGTGTGTTACGGTGTCAGTGGTCAAGCGGGTAGTGCATCACCTGGCGTCACCTTCAGGCTGTGGGGGAGAGGGGAATGGTAACAAGATGCTCCTAGAATCGCAGCTAGAGTGGATGGGGAACATGGGAAAAGGGGGGGTGAAAGTAAGGGGGGCGGGAGGTGAGGTAGATAGTGTTGATAGGTCTCTAAATTAGATCAAGTGGCGCACTTGTTGCCCAATGGGGTAGAGCCTTTGAGCCTAAGTAATGTCTCCAGGATATAGGAGGATGGATTAACCAAGTGTGATAGCCAGGTGTGGTGATAAACACCAAGTAAAATCTGGAAGCATTCAGCTTAAGTAGAACAGTAAAATTGATGCTACTAGTTGGTACTTATCAAATCAAATAATTAAAAGATAAAGTAAATAAAGGTAAGGGTAGTTGCTGATTATAGCATCACTATGGTTGCAGAAAGTGAGATTAAAATTAAACCAATAAAATCCTTAGTTGAAAATAAGCAGGCAGCATTATGTCAAGACCATTATGACCGGGGGTCATCTCCATGCCGTGAGTGGTGTTTACCCCGTAAAGGTACGGGTCCTGAAAGTTGTGCGGTAGAGAACAAAGCAGTAGACACTCCCACATGACATCCTTCATAAAAATAAAAAAAGGGAACATATTAAAATCACAGAGCATAACAATGAGCTTAAACATAGGCATCCCACCTCAAGAACAACAAAAAAAAACTGCAGGTGAGTTGTGAGTGTGAAAGTCATTGAGCCAGTTCACTAGGCAATGCTGAGAGAATTGTGGCAGTCCGTTGACCAGGAAGTGAGAGGTGAAGGGTCCAGTTTGGCGTTTTTGCTGGTGCAGCCGTTAGAGTCATTTGTGAGGAGGCGAGGATGTCACCGGAGCAGATAGCCAGGCAGAGTGAGTTTAAAAGAGGGGGGGGGGAGGGGAAAAGGGGAAGGAAGGTGGGAAAGTGGGAGGGGGGCAAAATAGGAGGTGTGGGACGAAATCTTGGGTAAGGAGAGGGGAATTCAGGGGACGTATCCGCAGTTATTCGGGAGTCTGTCTGAAGTGACGTCGGTGGTAAGTCCCAAGAGGTATCACAGTCACTATTTCTTGGGTCAGTCGATTGGTTTAAGCCGGGGTTCTGTCAGTCATCTGGCGGGGTCCCAGGTCCCTCTGTGAAAGGGCCGCAGGTATCCGCAGGTAGAACTCCATTGGATCTGGCCATGTCATGGTCAGTGGTGGGGGAGAGATCAGGGTCCCCAGATAAACCAGGTCAGCCTGTGACCTGAGCACCACAGGGCCATCAAGGCCATTCACGGACAGCCCAGTGGGGAAGAGCCAACAATATCTGACCCCATTTGACTGTAAGGCTCATGTAAGTGGCCTCAGCATCCTCCAATAGTGAAGCGTGGCCGGTGAAAGGTCTGGGAAAAGCTGCAGGTCGGTTTGAAGAGGGCAGATCGTGCCAGCTTCCCTAGCAGCTCGCAGAATGGTTTTCCATTCAGCAAAGGATTCAAGGCAGCAAATCGTATCCCGTGGTGGAGCTTCTAGTGGGCCTCTGGGGCGCAGGGCGTGGTGCGCTCTGATAAATGCTATTTTGGTGGTGAGGTGCCTGAAAAGTAGCCTTTTGAAGATTACCTCCAAGGTAGAGCATACTTGCGCATGGGATTCCTCAGAGTCGGAGAGACCTTGCAGCCGCAAGTTGTTGCGCTGTCCCGGTTGTCCAGGTTTTCCACGTGGAGAGCAATGCCCTGTAAGTAGTTTGCCTGGTGGTCTGAGGTTTCGGGGGTAAGTGCCTGGTCTGCCTGGAGCATATCACACGTGGCTTCTAGACGGCTGACCCGGTCGTTCAGGCCCTGCAGGTCTTCTCTGAGTGCCTGGATGTCGGCTCTGATTGAGGCCTGTAGTGTGCTGTTGGCGGCCGCCAAATCAGCGCGGGTCAGCGAGGGTCGGAGCAGGGATGTCCAATCTCTCTCCTCCGGCCTTGGCGACTGGTCCTTCGGTGAGAAGAGGCCTCCTCCGACACAGCTTGGGATGCCAGGTCCGCTGGTGTCGAGAGGTAGTGGCACAGGGACGTGGTTAGAGTCCCCTTTTTAAGGTTCACTAGCCTTCTGGGAGGTGGAAGGTCTGTGGGTTTTCCCCATTTTTAGGTGATGTGGTGGGATTATCCATCAAATTTACACGAGGCAGTGGAGCAGGAAAGATTTAAGTGGCCATCTTCCCTCAGAGCCAAGCCCCGTCCCCAATGCAGTTTTTCTACATTTGGGTGACACCTCCCTTTTTAACCATGCACAAAATGGCTACTCTTAAAGTAAACCAACAGCAAAATGCACTCTATTCAGACAATTAAATGATTGCAAAAAATGAGCAGTTTACTTGAATAAATGCTGAGAAAACAGCATATGCTGAATCTCACTAACACGCATAAAGACAGTTCTCAGTTCGCTTGTGATAAAAGATAGTGGAGCTTTGTCCACCACATGGTGTGTTTCGTGACATAATACATTTCACCTATTTTCACCCAATTGTTGGCTTCTTTCTCTCCTTCTACACTTCTCCTTATATAATGGACAGGAAAGTACCTCCTCACATTCCCTATTAGTCAGTTTTCCTCATAAGGACATCATCTTTTGCAGCTGTTAATCAATCAAAATAGAGTCCAAAATAGGGTTCACTATCTTGTTACTGTAAGTCGCAACATTTACATGTGAAAATGTAGAACACAGTATCACTTCTAAATAATAATAATAGCATTTCATATATCCTAATCTAATCATTAGGTTATGTGCGCTCTATCTGAACATATTTGAAATAATATATATTTTTTAAATAATCACATTTAAAAATAATATGTAAGCTTATTTAAGAATATTTAAAATGAC